TCATACAGACATCTAGTTAAAACAATTCAATAAAGTAAGTTTAATTTTTTTCAATGCTTATCCGTATGATATTTATTAGCTTGTTATATCTAGCATAAATTAATGGTGGTCAGTGTTCATCCGAAAAAAATAAAAGCTTGTGCCAATATATTAAAAAGGCTCATAATATTTCGAATGAAACTAACCAGCATTGCAGAAATAAATATAATACTATCAATCAGTTAGTCTAGACAGAAAATAATCTTACCAAAATGTTAAAAATTTCATCATAAATATAAATAAACATCGTATACCAACACGTGGCTGAAAAAACCTATAAGTGATTGTTAAACAATATTACCTTTGCGCTACCGTGCTCCGTGAGTTAACGACTAATTATTCTTTTCGCCTTTTTCTTTATTCTAAATTTATCAGACCATTGAAAAACCGTTAGATATTATTCTGTTTCAGATTTAGTCTTATGATTTGTATACACTGAATCATTTTGCTTTATACATTTACAATGTTTAATATGTAAGTAAGGAAATTATATATATAGTATATATATATATAATATATATATATATATATATATTTGTAAAGGATGAGTTTCCCCCTTTCGATTGTCCCTATAAGATAACGATAGCAACTTTCAAAAAGGATCATGGTATATCTCGCGGACAAACCGCGCATTCTTTTTTTATATTTTTTATATTGTAAGTCCGGAGGACTTTAAAGTTTTATAGCATGTTTGATTTGTGAAAATTGCATATTGACAATTTCCGTTTTTTACGAGCGACAAAAGTGATTTGTCACAAACGTCCAATCACGGAAGTGCATCATGTGCTATTTATAATCCCTTGCTGGAAAAGTGACTAATCAAACAAAAATCATTTCGCAGGAGAAATGGTTTTATCCTGAGTGAAGGCATTTATTTCGGGAGGTTGCAACCTCGTGAGTTAATATCAACAACCTTCAAGTAATCTAAAAATATATTTATCAATGGAAGTGCCCTAAAAATGCCCCTTGGTTTATTACAAAATTAAGAATTAAAAAATGTTTCATCAAGATAGGGTTTAAAAATTACCAAAACTAGAAGAAAGTCATGGACTTGTTCAACTTTTTTTCATAAATAGAGAAATTTATTTTTTATTCATTATTATTCATCTTCGTTTGCGTGATATTAATACAGTGAAACGTCATTCGATTGCGCGAAACGTGTATAATGCGAAATGTGTCTAATATCTGAATATAAACTCGGGTCTGCAAATATAAGTTTTGTAGCTATTACATTGCAATAGTTCGGAATTGATCGAACCGCGCAAAAAATACTGCTTCTCTGAGAGCCGCATTGAGCGAGTTTTACTGGTAGGTTTTTTTGAATAAGTGTAGTAAAAGTTGTTTGGGAAAAATGCAAAATAATAATTTTAAAATCTATAAATTTGGAGAAGTTTGCATAACAATATTTGGTTAGTGCCATCAAACAGAAGCATTAACATTACACGATCATAAACATAAACAATGTGACATTTAACACAAGATTCCATTTTGTTTCATTCACGATGAGACGGGGTGACTTCAAAATACATATATATATACATATTACATACATATATATAACATATATTACTACATATATCATCACACCATATATATACACAGTATTATATACACATATATATTATACATATATATACAATATATTATAATATATATTATAACACATATATATAACATATATATACCATATATATACACATTATATTTATTACATATATATTACACATTATATACATTTATATATACACATATATATACATATATATACACATATATTATTACGATTATATATACACATATATATACATATATATACACATATAGATACATATATAGTACACCATATATACACATATATATTACATATATATAACACATATATACCACAGATATATACATATTATATACACCATATATATATACATATATATACATATATATAACATATATATTACAGTATATACACATATATACACATATATACACATATTATACACATATATACACATATATATTAATATAGTATACATATTATACACATATATATACATAGGATATACACATATATATACATATATATACACATATAGTATTACATTTTTTATTTTAATTATAAAAACACTATATACACATATATATACATATATCATACACCATATATATACAATATATACACATATATACATATATATACACATATATACATATATATACACATTATATATTACATTTATATATACATATATATACATATTATATTACATATATATACATAATATACATATATATATATATATATATATATATATATTCCATTCGATACATGTAAGGAACAAATTAAGGGTACTATTTCAAATACTGTGTTGCCATGAACACTACGATAAGTGTAAAGTAAAATAATAAATCATTCATCCCTCCCTTTTACATTCCTTCATTGAATATTCATTTTGTGGGGGTAGGATTAACATGGTTTTTAAATACGATCATTCTGTCCCGGGTAAATCCAAGCTATTTTTGCCGCGTCAGTGAAGAGAACAGGTTGCGATACAGTTTTTACAGCCAGGCATATTTCGCACATTAAATGAAAGATGGTGTGGACAAACTTTCTATCTTTGCCTGGACTTGCGTGACAAAGCATCTGGTAGGCCTTAAAAGCATTAGTTTATTACACTTCATTTCGTTTCTCGATGTAGTATGTCGATTTTTCCACATTTGAAGCCAAAATCTCCCTTCTCGTGCAAAGAGCGCAATGTTCAACATGAAGGGGAGAGAACAGCAGCGCGGGAGACCCCTCGGCCCTGGTGAGTGCTCGACTCAAACAGAGGGGAAAGGGCGAAAAACCGCCTTTCAGGCCACGTGCCTGGTTCCGGCGCAAAAGCTCTTCCCACTCAAGTCACAGTGAAAGACAGATAGTGTATTTCAGTATACCGAATATCTCACCATTTGAAAGACAGATAGAGGTATTTCAGTATACCGAATATCTCACCATTTGAAAGACAGACAGTAGAAGTATTTCAGTATACCGAGTGTCTCACCAGTCGTACAAGGTGCCACCCTCATATCTTCTGAACGGTTCACAATATTGCAACCCTCGCCCTCTCGTTATTATTATTTCTTCCAAATGGGGGAACGCATCAATTGTCTGTATTCCTCGGAATGAGCACTGACAATATTGTTTATTACCAATTGAAAGTTAAGGACAAATCTATCTTGCCCTTGAATTATACAACCTTAAAACTATAGGATTCCTTTGTGGACTCGGGCCGAAAAGAATCGTTTCTCGATTATGAAAACTGAATACTTCTACTACCTGAATAGTATTTGTTTTCCCGAACTACAAAAAACAATAATAATCTTGAACATAATAAAAATATAAACACAATAACCAACAATTCATGAAACATTTAAATAATTAGCTCTACCTTCGTAGTGTATATTAACTCTTTTCTTAGCATGCAGTTTTCTACTGAATTTTTTTTTCAAACTGACATGGGTTCACTTTAGGTAACGCGTAAATGCAAAATATTATTTCAACATAAATTACTTTTGTAATGATTTAATTTTTCACTGAACATTTGAATGTCAAGAAAATTTCAATTTACTTACTTGTCCTTGATAGCCGACCTAAAACCAAAAAATGATGGCTTAGATTCACATTCTGGTTCAAATTCAAATTATTTTACATCAGTTGAAATTTAGATATTCAATTTCTTGCAATATTAAAAATCGTCCACAAGTTGAACAAATGATTCAACTTCTTTGAATTTTCTATACTATATACGTATTATCCCGTTACTTTACAATGAAACCCAAAGAAACCTATTTGTATAAAATCAATGTTCTGTTCTATTAATATGTATTCTAGCAATTTATACATTTTCCCACACTACCAAATCTTATATGGCTCATTATTATAACCCGCTTCCTGGCTATTTCTTTTCCTAAATCTGTATAGTAGGCGTCGAACGTACCTGGGAGATGGTTGGTTATACTATTCACGCCCCGCCTCCACGTGATCGTGCTCTGGGATAGGCATATCCGCCCAGCAGTTCAACGGCTTGGATTCCGTTGAATTACTGCAATGGCTGGACTCCAAATTTGTTTCTAATACCCGCATCATACCTAAATATACTCAATGTTCTCCAGCCATCGACCACTGAAAAGATTAAAACAAGTATCCACGTGTTGGCACGGTCATTTATTTACGATAGTTACGCATTTTTCCGAAAGCTGAATTTGCATACATTAAGAGCATACTCAAAGTAATTCTAAAATCAATTACCTCTTATAGATCTTTCCTCGTCTTCGCACCTCCAAATCCACTACTCGCAACGAGTAACTGTATGAGAGTTAACTCCGGGGACCTTTCTGCGGCAGACGTCGGAAAGAAATGAGACCGAATTTTGCGATAACGGCACTCACTTCCCTTTCTTCCCCTACCCCTAACTTCCCCGCTTTTACCAGCTCGCGCTCCGAAACCGGCCGTCCTCGCCTACTAGCGTCTTTAGATTCTGTTCACTCGGTGACTCGCTCTTATTAATCAGAGGGAGGCATTTAAAAGCAGGGCCCGGCAACTCCCTATCAAAATTGGGGACAAAGCTAGAGGTTGCTACTATAGGATGCGCTAGACTCGCCGGATACAGCTGCTGGTAAGGCTCTCCATCTTTCGCACATAAACATTAGTCAAGAAATACGAATACACTTTGATTATGAGCCCTTTTGTGAAATAAATTACAAAAGACGTTAAATACTATGTGTTTATCTTCTAAAATTCATTTATTCATAATAATACACGCATGAAAGAAAAGGTAGCGCGAACAGCGGCGCGATTTTTTGTATCAAGCGCGTGTGTTTGCGTCCCGAGAACCCACACACGTTTTAAATACCGTTGGTATCAGTTCGTATAAGAAGGCGATGCTCTAGAGAGCGCCACTGTAATGGTCCCCACCACGTTATATGGGAGTTACAGGGCCCTGTTTAAAAGTCTCACGGGCGTCGATGTACATCTCACCAGCCTACCAAGGCTGGTGGCCACTATATCGAAATGCAGTTTCCGCTCAACAATGTGTCATTATGAGGCAAGTAATGTGCTTCACAGCTATTGCTTATAATATTTTTAGTTTTTGAGAAATTGAATTATCTTTGATTTTTTAAATGGAAAGACTTTTTTTTCTCACCAACAACGGCTAGATCGTACAAAGAGAAATACAATGATGTTTCATTTGTTAAAGTATTGGCAGTAGTTTGACTATAAATAATGCTTTCTGGCATGTTATTTTAAATTAAATCGACAAAATTTCTTGTAAGGAGGCTTTACAATCGTCGCCTTTGGTGAAGGTGGTCTTTGTTTCGTGGCGCCGCCGCCCATAACTGCCTCGGCGCCACGAAGGCCACTTTCCCCGAAGACCACAGTTGCAAGTGCTGCTCCCGGAAATTTTGTCGGTTTAATTAATTAAATGTCTATCCAAATACAAACATATGATACATCATTGTCATCAACATATGGTTCCTCTTTTTATGATATATCCATTGGTGATGATAAAAATGTATAATTTCATTTTAAAATTATAAATTTACGAAAGACGGTTAAATTGCTCGAAAACGGAAAATATTTCATGTAATGTATACGGCTTATTACTTGTCTCGTGATTTCGCATGTTGAGCGAAAACTTCATTCCGATATCCTGAACTGTTTAGAAGTTATGAGGGCGCTCGTAGTTGGCGAGACATTGTTTACAAGAAACAAATGTGTTCACAATGCGTCAAAATAAAGAAGAGCATCGTAAGTTACCAAGTTTCTGACCGCAATAATGGAGTATAATGTGACATCAACGCTATACCCTTACTCTTAGTTATCAAAGCAACATAAGCATGGGTGTGTGTAATTATGTAATGCATCTCGCAATTGAAGGTTTAAAAAAATTAGTTAAATTTACGTCTTTCTTACCAGTTAGAAGTTACCTCTATTTTTTCGAATAAGACATAATAATTATACGGGAACACTTTAGCTATTCCCACAATCTGCTGCTGACGTAACTAAATAAAGCCTTCCTCTAAAACATTTTTTTTTAAATGAACGAAATGCCTATCAAAAATTATTCCTTTTTACCTGCCTTCTGTTGCAGCATATTTTCAAATTGCATCCCCTCGCACCATCGCAGGACTTCGGTGTTTGACATCAAGGCGCTCGCTATGACACCCAGGGGCTTAGCTTCAGTTGGTGTCACCCGGGCCAAAACTAATGTTATCGCTCCACCCGCAAAATAAATATAAAAATATCTATTACTGAATAGTTTATACATTATTTTAAAAAAACAAATGCACAAGACATTATTATTACATGTATTAAAAATCTATGTAATTCTGAATAACTGATGGATGTTTTAATAAATAATCCAAAACAAATTGTAACTAATTAACACGTTTACTATAAAACCACTTTTCGAGATTTAAGGGCGGCAAACTTATCTATAATTTCATCAAAATCTAAAATTTTTAAATAAAGCGTTAAAATTGTATAATTCCAATCATAAAATTTCCTAATATCGATGTCACCCCCAAAATGGAGCCACCGGAAGCGGACCGCGCACCTTCTGCCCCGCTAACTACGCCCCTGGTGGCACCGCACAACACTTTCGCGAAAGTTGGGTCGCGGACGAGGATTCCGGGTGGTTTGTGCCCGTGGGCGGCAGGGAGGTTCAGCGGAGACCGCAACTCGCTCTTCAAGGAGGCGCCGTGGCCTGCGGCGGAGCGCGGCGTCGAGGGCCCGCAGGAGACCTTGTAAAGAGGTCAAGCACCGGCGACACGGCGGCGGGACAGCAGCCAGCCGCCAACCGCTCGCACACGTGCGGAACCGCAGCGCCGCCTCAAGCGGCGGTCACGACAGCGCCGAAATATACTACACATTAGAAATGCAGTAAAATCTCTCTAAATCGGAATCTACACAAAACTGACATTAACCGGTAACCTGGATTAACCGTCACTCTCTAAGTCGGAATCTGTACTAAACCGGCATTAACCGGAAACCTGCATTAACTGTCACTCTCTAAATCGGAATCTGCACAAAACCGGCATTAACCTGAATCCTGCATTAACTGTCACTCTCCAAATCGGAATCGGCACAAAACCGGCATTAACCGGAAACCCGCATTAACTGTCACTCTCTAAGTCGGAATCTGCACAAAACCGGCAATAACCGGAAACCTGCATTAACTGTCACTCTCTAAGTCGGAATCTGACAAAACCGGCATTAACCGGAAACCTGCATTAACTGTCACTCTCTAAATCGGAATCTGCAGAAAACCGACATTAACCGGAAACCTGCTTTAACTGTCACTCTCTAAATCGGAATCGGCACAAAACCGGCGTTAACCGCAAACCTGCATTATCGTCACTGCTCTGAGGAAGCCTGCGACATGTCAGGTGAAACGTCGGCCTCTCAGCCAACGACGCGGCGTCTCCCGGGATAGCCAAGAATTTAACCTGCGTTAACCGGCAAATTTCTGTGGCCCGTGAAGTTATATGGTATTTCACACAGTATAAAACGTAATCTGTCCAACGCGGAAACGGAACGGTTTTTCATATCCTATAAGGAGGGGGGGGGAATCTTTATAAAACTCAATTCCTGCGAGTATAATGCGATTGGCAGAGACGCGCGTTAATCTTAATATAATGAATGCATCTGCAAGTCTGTTTTAATTTTTCCATCTCGCGAGATTTAGTCGTAGCAACCGCCTTGTCAAGAAGAGGGGCTTCAGCTAACAGTGTAAATTTGACCCCGATGTCACTTGTCTCTCAAGGGGTAGGCCGCAGGAGAATTCCCACCTACCTCTTGAGTGTGTACGAACATGAATGTTATTCGCGCCTCTCCCTGCCCAATCGTAACCCTCCGGCCAGAGACATATTGCTCAAAGCCATGTGAGGGAACCTGGATGGCCGAGGTGGCGTGTACCAACTTAGTGCCTCAGTCAGAAGGGTCGTGAGTTTGAGTCCCGCCGTGAGCATGGGTGTTTGTCCCTTGTCTTTCGTATCTGAATTGACGCGGAAGATCTGCTGACCATAGACCGAGGAGCCCGTAAGTGTGCCAGTGTCTAGTGTAAAGGTTAATATGTCTCCATGAGGGACAGTGGGTACCCGGCGCGAACAGTCGAAAACCGGCATCCCGTGAAGCTGGAAAAAGCCTCCGAATAAAAATACTATCATACGCAAGACAGGCACCAGGCAGACACCGACGCATGAACACAAGTGGTGCTTGGCAGTGTCTCAAGTGGGTGCCACAACTGCGCCAGAATCTTCGCAAAATAAACTACACATTCGCAGTACTTCATTGGTATCTACATCTAGTGGTGCGGTGTTGGTAAAAGGACAGTTTCGCCAAACACAGTGTGCCCGAATGGATGCCCCGATGCGATCTAGATGTTCCAAACGGCACCTCTAGATCGTATACTATCATGTGCAGGAGAGGCCAAATAGAACGAGTTGTCACACGGTATATCCAGAACATCATTTAGGGTCTATTAAAATGAAGGTGCTAGGCAGCAATAGGCGCACGCAGAAAATTTTTAAAAAATATTAACAAAAATAATCAAAAAGTATTGATTATTTCGAATAACCAAACATATCGTGAACTTTAAATTGAACCTATTAATTTGTTTATCTTAGACCCAGCCAAATATTTACTAATTTTCCAAATACCTTTACGACTTTCACACTAGTTTTCATCAAATATCATCGAAATTCGTTGTCGTAATCCAAAAGGCTTCGTTTATCCTCCTTAAACAATTACTACAATATATTTTCAAATTAACATTTGGAAGCATTCTGACAGGGCAATTATTGCCCCGGTTTAATAATAGGTTATTATTAAAACAATTTATCAGGAGATTTGTATACTACTGGCCAAGAGGTAACTGCGTTATTTTTATTCCTAATAATACTAATGTTTAATTTCAGTACGAATTGAGTGTGGTAGATTTTTTGAAAACTTTGTAGTATAGTTTGTAAAAATATTAATTTTTCAATAAATATGAGTAATTTAGAATGGTTCACTCATTTATACAAAGATTAATATGCAACTTCTAATACAAATATAATGAATTAGAAGAGCAAAATTAATAAAGCAAGTTGAGCGGAAAGATTGCTTCAGCAAGAGGAGATCACTGACCCCTGGCTCTTGACCTTTATTCCATAACGCTCTTTCAAACGCTTACATTTTGCGAGGCAGGTGGTAGCTCAGCGACATCTGATATTGTCGTTTCGATCCTCCCTGATACCGCCGTGTTTTCATAAGGTTAAAATTCCTCTGAGGCTATGTGTTGCTTGCGTAGGTTTTCCACGTTTATCTTGCCAACGAAATTCTAAAGGATCTGTAACAGAGAGTGCTGATCTCTCTGCCATCGTACGTCTTATCGTCGGTACCATCTCCAGCAAGGTGCCTGCCCGGGAATTCAGCTGAGCATCGCTGGGAAACAGCCAATGGGAGAGATACGATATGTCCGCCAACGCGCGTCGGAGATCATGAACGAGTTCAATGGCAGGTTCCCAAATCGTAGGTTTGGAGTCCGAGAGATAACGAATTTTCGACAAGAGCGAAGGAGTTGTCTCGATTCTAAACCTAACGTTTACACATTTTTGATAATAGAGAAGTAGCTGGATCGTTTCAAGACCTGGCGTTTACAAATTTTCGACAAGGGCAAAGTAGGTGGATGGTAAAAAAAGCTATTAATTCTTAGTAGGGATGAGAATAACCCATCCGATATAACCAAAAACCGATTTTTGTTTTGCTTTGCGTTTTGTAACTTTTTTATTCAATTACTTGTCAAAACTGAATTAGATAAACGAAACTTTAAACAAAATAGTTTTCAATAGGTAACGGTATATCTTTAATGTTGTTAAATTGGTAATACAATGTTAATTAATAAAGCCCACACCAATAATATTTTACTGTTTACTTTTCTTTGTTTTTATTTAGTTTTTTTTGTCATAAACCGTTGTATAGTAATCGAAAAATGATATGAACAATGTGTATAACTACGATTGTTGTCAAAATGATTAATAATGCTCCTATAACAATTTAAATAGCACCTTATTCATTATGGATATTTAAAAGCGAACTTTACAAAACAGGAATCAGTTTCCTAATAATAACAGTAGTTAGAACAGAACAGTGTTCTAGTAATCCATGGCCCACTTTCATCCAGAAAAATCATACTCATAATGAAAGTAATATTATTTGTACAACTAACTCAAGGCCTCCTATTAATTGCTACGAACATCTGTGTGTTAACATTTTGTTGGACAAGCTGTTAAATTTAAACGAAAAATATAATTCATAAGTTGTTTTACAGCTTGGCTAAAACGTTGAATTACGTACGTGGCGTAATATTTTATAACAATACTCAGTTGATTTAAACGTGACCTGACGACATCGTTTGATAGTTCTACAATCCGGAACTGTACAAGGTGTCTTGCGATATTTTTTGCGTAAGTAACTATTTTGTATACACATGCGTTTCTTTACAAAACACAAAAATCGATTATTTCATTGATGATTTTGATTTTATTTTCAGCGATGATAAAACGGAATAATCTATTTTTTCAATAATCTCCATCCGTTCTGCGTGGGTGAGAATGACTGATTTGACACGTGCCCAATCTTCGTGACATCGAAATTGTCCAAGAGTACTCCTAGTGAGAAGATACGCTTCAATCAAGAATATTAAATATTACTATGTACACGTACAAACGTACAACTACAATATTTGAATGTCATATTTCATTAAAAATTAGATGAAATTATTTAATTAATATACTTATATTCAATGTGAGTGTTGAGTGTAAAATCAGATCTGTTTCCGCATTTGGCAAGGATTTTATTTAATGAAAAACAAGACCTTATTTTTAATTATTCGAACATTGTATTTGTGTGTAATTGCTTTGATACTTCTATATTCTAATTAAATCAATTATAGTTAATTAATTTGTTCTGCTTTTTACACCGAGGAAGAGACTCTTCAAAAAAGCCATCAATGATTGTAATGAGGATTCAAATGCATGTAAATGACTAAGTAATTGACAGTTATGCAACAATTAATAAACATCATCTTCTATACGTTGAAATAATGGTTAGTGAGTCAATAAATATTGAAATTGTGACTGCGTAATAATCTAATAATTTAACATATAATGCGGTTCATGGGAATAACTACAAAATAGAACTAAGAAAACAACAATGAGTTATTAGAAAAAATGTATCAACATGTTTTATTATTAACCATTTGTGCCAAATATTTATTAAATAAGTTTAAAAAATGTGATCAATGTAAATTCACGGCTGAGACGGTAGACATCTCATTAAGCATGTGACGTAAGGATTACGCCAGATTAATCTGACATCGACCGCTTTTTGATAATAAACTCTGCTGCTCCCAGCGACGTCAAGCCACGCCCCCTCGCTTCCGCCCTTCGCCAGCTTCTTCTGTATCAGGAGTGTTCGTCCTCTGAAAAACGAGAGGCGCTGGACTAATACTTGGTTGCAGGTAAAAGAAGAGATATTGGAGGTGGAGCGCGGTAGGGAGCGAACGCTGGCGCGGGGCGCGGAGCCCCCGTGGTGCGTGGCGAGGGGAAGAGGGGACGCCGGGCGAGCAGCGGGGGCGTGGCGCAGGGCTGGAGGCAAGGTCGGGGGCGGGTGGGTGTGAGACGCTGGGCTTGTGGGGCCTGGAGGAACGCGG